GCGGAGCGAATTCTGCCTATGACCTCCGAGATGCATCATAATGTTGGGTTTTATTAAGAGTTTTGTATTTTTTGGCGTGTTAGTAAAGTTACAAAAGTCGTCAACCTCAATTTCTATGACTTTGAGTAAAAAAAGTGTGGATTAAGTCAAATTTCATTCGCGTTGGTTCATTTAGTGGAAAAGCTGGAGACCGAAAATTCCATTGCCACTGATTAGCAGTCGGCCAAAAGTAGCCACCTTAAAAGACCAAGGGTGGAAGTGACGTTGGCTGCAGTGACCCACGTTAAAAATGTCTGACTTTGGTTCCTTGTTCAGCTCCGCGCTTTGATTCCGCGGTAATTTGCAGCACTGCGTTGTCTCCTCAGCGGTACTGACTTCGCCAGAGCCATTTGCCCCCTATGGACAGCAAAGAGGACTTGTAACTTTGAATCCAGTGCCTTAAGTACTCCATCGCATGCTGGCTGAATTTTTCATTCGATTCCAAAGCTCCCTATTTTAACTTCGCGTAAATAGTTAGCCACCATTAAAATAAATAGTACTATGCATTAAATACAATTTTCCTTCAACACTTTTTTTTAATAATAAGTGCCAGTGAGAGAGCTTTTGTGTCCTGTCACTAATCCTCCTACCTGAAAATATGCGTATATCCAAGCACTATGCCTTATAGTGTCTGCTAGGAACTTTTGGTAGCTGATGAAAGGGATCTCCACTTTGGATCCAATTTTCTTTTAATTAACACCGATCTCGAAACACAAACCTGTCGTTATCGGGCTGCATTATAATTCTATACTCCACTTTGCAAATCGCCTTTTAGACCACTGTTTCATTGTGATGCTCAGCAGACTTTCTTACCACTAATTACAGCTCCATTTAAATCAGAGCCGTTGAGGTGAAGTACTTCTCTTCCGTTGGTGACTTATGTTGATGGCTTGTGAGAATTTTCTGGCAGCACTAATTGCGCTGCGATGGCTGAATTCGAGGAGTTTATCAGAGAGGGGGCCGTAGACGTAGCTTATGTGAGGGACTCCGCTGTATTTTGGTTACTTAATCTTCGATACTATGAGGGGACTTTATTGTCCATATTTTCTCTGCCAGTTGGACTGGTCTTCATGCCATGCCAGAAAGCTTCCTTTCTACCTTCTGTCTAAACACGTGTTTCGTCATGCATCATACATTCACCATCCAACAGGTAGTTTTGAGAGACTACTTTGCTGATTAAGTTTGCGATACTGATTCCTATGAAAGCAGTGTATTTTGGCGGCAGTATTCTTTGCTTTACTTTTTATTATGCATGAATTTAAGGCTCCATTTTGTTATACCTTTAGTCCAAATTGTGGACTGGACCATTAATTCGAATGCAGCCTGTGTTAGGGTTGTGGCTCATTTTACGATGTTGAGCTATTTTACACGCCCTCGGAAATCGTAAAAATTGGATGTGACTACCGGTGAGAGTTACAGGGTCTGAAAATCAGCCCTGACCTCGGATCTAGTTCCATATTTTTGCTCAAATATTTAAGTTGGGATAGTACACATGACAACAAATTAAGGGACATAAAATCAGGTGAAAGAAAATGTCTTTTATTTTCATTTTTTTTGTTATTTATTATACTATATTTGTTCTCTTTGCACTCCCGTAGGGGACAAAGAAATGGGCGGCACCCTTTCCCACATCAACAATCTGCTTTCTTCTTTTCCCTCCAAAATAGACTTAAGCTTTCATTGTGCATGGAAGGGGGATTGATTGCTCAGTCTTTCGGAGGTGAACATCGTGCTCGACGACGATCCAATGTGGGAGATTCACAAGATTTATGTTCTATTCAAAGATGTCCTAGTCAGCAATCACAAGCTAGTTCTATCCTCAAGTCCGTAGCATTCTTTACCACTTCAAACTCAATACTCTATTTACTACGTGGTTCAGTGCATCCAGAGATGATGAATTGCAATGAAGCGTAGGTTTTGCACATAAGGCACTGCCACCAAGCATGTTAATTACGTCCTGTGGAGGCGCACATGTTTTTCAACAAAAGTTATCGCTCATATTATACCCTTTGTTTGGTCACACGTTCTTCCAACTATGCAGTTTTAAATAAGCATGTGAAACTTTTCAACAAGTAAAATGTGATGGGGTGGAAGGGGTGGAGAGTGTATCACTAACGTCGAAACCACTAGCATGACTTCAAAACTCAAGGTTGTGATCTTTAAGGTGGCATGGTGCCCAAAATAAAGTTAGTAAAATAATCAAAGAGTTAAAATATCAAATGTTGCAGCTGCTCGAGGACAAATGTCATTTTTAGAATTAAGTAAGTCACTCATACCTTATTAAAGTTCTTTTTGTTATATCTTAAACACTGGCTTTAAGTCCTGATACAATCCCTTGATTAGATGGTCAACTCCGGTTGGCGATTTAACGGCCGTTTTAGACACTGTGTCAATTCCTCCACGGACCGGAGTGGTGTCTGAGCGGGGTTAGTAGCCTTCGACCCTCCAATACCACGCCTTCCTTCTTGAACTAATGAACGCCTTATGAAACCAAAGGTACTAAAAGTTTGGTGCTGCACTTACTTGTATCGCAATGTCACAAATTAAAATTGGTAAATTCGGGCAAACTTGTTTAAACATTCACTTCATCAACTTTGTCTCTCTGGCATTAACACCGCCATAATAAGTCTAACCTGAAGGTATGTTTTTTTTTCTAAACTCACCTCTTAGACGGCTTTGTTAAGGACCAAATGTCATCAATCTCCGAGGCGGAGATGCGTCCTGAACAAGTCTTAGCCATAAATTATGTTGGTGTTCGATTTGTCTGCCTGATCGAGGGTATGGAAGGTGAGGTAGACGAAGGCTAAACACCAAGTCTATCACACCCTTAATAGCAAATTCCGGCAGTTTTAACGCGAATTAGCTAAGCATCAAGGCGAGTGGAATGGTCTTAGTTTCACTTGGTGCCACTGTACTTCAAACTTGACTTAAGCATTGTTTTTGTCAGAAAGCTTTCTCAGTAACGCCACCTCCGTAGCGACTAAGCAGAAGTTTCACTTCGCAAAATCACCTCAAACTTGTGCGCTATACTGAAATCTGATTTTGGATTAAAATCGGAGAGAACATTGGCGACCGATTGGTTGTTCCATGAAAAAAGCATTGCACTGGAAGGAGACATTTCACACAGCATCCCTTCACTTCTGCCCTCTTCCTATGCCCTTCTGCAACACTTTGCTTTATGGAATCAATGCAGTCACAAGATATACTTCATTTCTTTCCAGCCTTTTGTAAAGCAAAACGACGTGGTGCAAAGTCATATTTATAAATTTTTGGCAGAGGGCAATTTCCTTGTATCTATGCATTCCCTTTGGTAAGTTAGATTTTCTGAATCAAACTACATTCACGTAAAACACCATTATGGGTAGTAAATTACTTTGTGCAGTTTGGAATGCAGACTTCGCCTGTAAAGCAAGGACTCGGGTCATCATTTCGCTTTGAGTTGGGGTTTTAGTTGCTCTACTGTCTTTGGATTGCTCTCTTTCATACACAAGCCCCAAGTATTTGAAATTGTAAATAAGTGCAGGGATCTAAGATTTGCAGTTTTACTTCTTTGTCTCGCAGTCGGCACTAAGGTGAAGCGCGGCATAAGGAGAGGTTACTCTTGGCACAGTCGTCATTTTCAACATTTTTTCTCAACAAAATTAAAATCATATGACCATCATCAATCTCATAAAGCACATAAACGAAACTTGGCATTTATTTAGTTACGTTGGGACGAGAAAGGCGAGCTGGTTTGTTTGCTAGCCTACTTGAGAAGATATTTATGAAAGTACTTAATCACCTTCATTTGCCTAGCCTAAAATCTGCGGGACTATTTCATAATACAGTTTAGATTCCACAATTTAGGGTGATAATTTATCCAACTACATGGTCTACTTCCGGCTTCAGAGAAGGCTGCAAATGTGCCCCTAAATTTTTGAACAACAATGGACAACAGCGATGTCCCGAGATCCCTGTTGTATTGAGGGTACTCCAGCCCATCATCAATCATGCAAAATACTCATATCTACTAAGTAGCCAGTCTCAAACTCTGTTCGGTGGATCACGGTCAGTGCGGTAGGTAATAAGTGCTTTGATAAGTAATCTTGGTTATTGCCCATAAAATAATTTGTACCAACCTTTATCTACCCTTCTACACAGGTAAGTTTATGGTTAGGTAGCACATAGGCAAAGGAACTGTGCTACTTAGGTGTAAATGGCAAATCAGAGAATAGAACCGGTTTTCTATTCAATTAAATCTTAAAAAATAACATTTATATTTTGTGTATTTCTTTTAATTTTTGAGTTATTACAGTTCCTTTAGCACTATAAATTGTCGGCATGTGTAAAGCTTTTATGACATTTCAAGATAAATGCAATCAGCCCATATTGGACACCTGGAATTTTACCTAAAGACTGATACCGTATAAAAAGCATAATTATGTTGCTTACAGCAAATTGACCCTAACTAGTGCCTCCCGGAAAGGCAAAATTTTGTGGACATGACGACTGAACCATCTGTCGATGAGATGTCAGGCTCTGATTAGCTTTTCAACCATTTACGTCCTTCATTGACCACTAGAAATGCGGTATTCGTCTGCCTACCAACGACAAGCGTAACCATGACAGTTCAGACAACATTTCTCATATGAAAAATTACACATAGTTGGAGGTTTTGGCTCATCAACATAGTAATAGCTTACTGAATAGCTCTCAATTCTAAGGCTGCTTTCAGAATCGTCTCCTAGTATCCGCATGCGGTGATCGCGAGTCCAAACTTAAATAAAAAGACGTCACTTACTTATCTGTAGCTGAAAATGTTTCACAGTTTTCAACCCACTAAAATACAACTGCAAACTCCCATTGTATTTTAATGTAAATTGATGTTCAGTGGAGCGTTTAAAAAATTGACAAAGTCGGTACAAGTTGAATAGAATGCAAGTGTTGTTAAAGCAGTTATGGCAAATGTTACTTCCATTTTGCTACCTGTTTAACGGGCAGGTCCGACAGCTCAGGAGGGCGAAGAATGCACAAAAGCCGTCCAGCCATCTGTAAATCATCTTCAAAAAGGTAGTTCGAAACCGTTGTCCCAAGAAACAGTAAAGAACAGTATTGAGAGAAGAGTTCAGCATTACGGAGAATTGGCAGATCGCGTAGAAGACACTGTAATTAGGAAATGCTGCTTTCACCAGGTCACTCATGAATGCTTGCATCAAGTTGTCAACCATTGGCAGAGATTGGAAAGCAATAAAAACGGAGACGAGACAAAACAATCGTCCAGTTACTCGTGCTCTTGCATGAATGATTTGGGTGTTATGCGATGCTTCTATACCACCCGGGATGTGGCTTCGAAAGTGATGCGTCTCCTCCAGTTGGTCTGTGTGAATGTCTGATTCCAGAGCAGGATTATTACTCCCGCCTAAATTGCCTTTCATAGGTATACGCTGCGGTATTTTGTCCCTCTTCTCTGCAAATTCACGACGCACACGATGCAATAGAAAGCCAAGACGAGCATTTAAAACGGCCACAATGCTCACAGGAATCACAAAAATGCCAAACGTGTAGCCATATGATGTGTAGATTGAGATGTACAATTGCTGCTCTCCTAACCTAGTAATACGCACTTCTGTACAATTGCAGGTGGCGTTGAAAACTCGCAAATTAATGGGAATGTGTTCGAACACGCGTGGAAGATTGCAAATCACTGCAAATGCAAAAATGCAACTCACCATCAATCGAGTTACTCTGCGAGTTCTAAAAGCATGCAAACCGAATGGATGACAAATACTTACGTAGCGAACGATAGAGAAGAGTACAACTGTGTACACAGCACAGGTTTGAGCGATCAAAGCGAGAGGATAGATAGCATGATAATAACCTGAATTATCCATCCAATTTACCACACCCTTTGAAGCTAACACGGGAATAATAAAGCTGATGAAGTAGAAGAAAATCGTAGCTGCATCTGCAGTGGTGAGAAACTTAAGGAAGACGCTGGAATTAATGCCCGAAAGCTGAGGTTGGTATAAGGTCTGAAGAGTGAGATAGTTTCCGATGAATCCCAATATGGCAACAGGACATGAGAGGGGTCCAAAAATGAGCCATTGCGCATAGTTGATCTCCTGGTCATTAAGTGTGGAGTTATTGTGTGCAGACATTGGAACCGCACAATTAAATCCAGACAATGATCAATCACTGGGGCAAAATTGGGTTGTGCTTCTGATTGGTGGAGCAGTGGGAAATTTGATTGGTTGTGGCAAGTCCAGACGTTGATCAACGCTACAGCGTTAGCTCAAAAAGAATTCAAAGAAGTTTCAGCAAAATCATTGGTCCAAAGAGTTAAGAAAACCTAGTCATTATTACCTCTTTCCTATGATAACTCTAATTTTGCCGGCTCTGATGAACTCTGATGAAATTAATGGTTGTATTCATTAATAATGCACCTTTTATTAGAGGATCTTGTAAAGGCGTAAGGTCGACCATTTTTAGAAGTCTCCAATATTTTCCTTAACGAAACTTACTTCATCGGCACTCATTTATGAATAAGTTGTTTTGGAAACTTCTCAGGACTTCTAAGGAATCGTAGGTGTGTGCGATGATCTTCAACTGCGTCACAAAGCTGAAGCGTGTCGTAATCCATGCGAAGAAATTCTTATTTTACTTCTGACACTCTTTACCTGATTTTGACACCAATTTATCTAGAGAAAACTTTTGCAAATTTATCATAGAATGCTTTTACGAGAAATAACTTGCGGCAATTGTTTTCGAATTACCAATTAATTCGCATGCTACACAAAAGAATATCAGATGGTCTGAATACAGACACCGATGTCTATCAATTTGTATGCCAAAAAAGTGACGAGGTGACAGCTTTACGATGGGAGGTTGGCTTGCCTTTTTTATGACCAAATGGGCACATAGATAACCATCCTGAATTGATACATTGTGCCACTCTCCACGCAAAAATGCTTTACTATCTACCATATCGTCCAAACTGCGCCATCTCACTTTAATTCCCTTTATATATTATTTTACTATGTGAGTCGTGTCCTAGCTCGTGAGGACTGGCTGTTAGGTGTGGTTTAGATGAAAAGGGAGCAAGAAAACTTCCTAATTGACACGCAGAACTAACTAATGGGCTGATAGTAATGGCCATTTTTATTCTCAAAAAAAACAGAGTTAGACAAAGCAATATCTAATTTATCACAGCACTGGTTAGTATGGCAAATAAATCAAGGTGGAAGGGAGGACAGAATAGAAGGAGCTAAAAGATGCCGCTTTTTTTGCTTACGCCCTATCCCCTTGATGGTGCTTTTCTCGGTAAGAAACGCTAGTCCTTTTGATCTGTGGGTGGGGGATTGGCTATCAATGGAAGGAGGGTGGACTAGGTCAGGAAGGAAGTCAGATCAGGTCATTGCCTTTTAAGGTGGGCAGTTAATTAGAGACTAGACTTGGACCGACACACGTTTACCCACCTACCTCACTAACGTGTCATGTAAAAGCATTTTTTTTATTTTCAAAGCCTTTTGGCAAAGGAGTTACAGTAAATAAGGTTTTCTCACTGCAATCGCTTTTCTATGATTAATCATATGTAACTTGTGTGTAGGTTTTAGCATTAATCGAAGGATTTTGTAAAGAAGCACCTTTTAGACGGTGAGCGCGTGCTTTTACACAAACCGAGCAATATCATTTCTTAAAGTTAATTGGCTAGTTCATCACAAAACTGTTATAAGCCATATTCCTCCTCGAAAAAGGTGGCGCTTTGCATTCGATTAAAGGGTAGGTGACGGCTGCATGATAGTGTTGTTGTTCATTTGCATCTCTCCAGCCACCTTGGATGACAATTTGATGCGGAATATTTGTAGGGACCGTCGCAGCTTCCCAAGACTATCATGAAGACAATAGAGGGTACAGCACAAGCAGAGATAAGGATAAGGAGGCTATTTACATAGTCAAGAAGTAATGTCTTCCATAATTAAGCCTTAAAGCTTCCAAAAAACAAATGGAATAATATAGTAAGTAACCAAAGAATGTTATAACCTCTTTGCCCCATTGTTTTTGCAACTTGAATCAAAGTAGTCGGTGCTGGCCATCTACTTGTTTTACACTCGAGGAGACGCTTACTAGCAAAGTCACTCATTCCGCTTGAAAAAAATAAAATACACCTAAAGGTGCATTTTATGTTAGAATTTCACTTAAGTAATTCAGAACTTTGGAGAATCGTTGGTATTTGCTCAAAGAGTCATTAATAATTCGACTAGACTGATGCTTCTAATGCGTAAGTACTTTGGAGGACCACGATGAAGTAGCCAAGACTAAGAGAATCTTATGCAGTGCATGCATAAATTATTTATTTTTCTAAAAGCTAAATCCTTCTCCAGTTGACTTTTACACTTCTCTGATTTGCTGAGGCTCAACTCATTATCATAGAGTTGACGCTGATTACGACTACCTCGAGGTCCTCATCCGCAATCCAACTCCTCGAATATGGTGTCCATGAAACTGATTTTGGAAGGAAATTGCGATCTGCCACTCATAATTAACTTCATAAGTGATGCCCAAAGAAAATGAAGACAATAAATATGGACAACAAGATTAATTCTCCAAACGACTAACGGGTATGCATAACAGCAGTTGGTGCGTCGAAACAAGGTGCAGACAACTGCTACGAGGCCAAGATAGCAACTAAAAATTACAGCTCCATATCTTAGGACAATAAGATGACTTAAATTCAATAGAAATATCTTGCCTTTGCAGTCCTCTGTTAGCCACTTTGAGTCGAAAGGGTTGGTTTTAGGTGTCAGTGCAGTACAGAAACATGTTGATAAGTTGTCCCCATAACTCTGGTTTTTGCGAGTCAAATATATGTTAATGCAATGCGCCGTTCAGAATTATTTCGCCTTAACCACTGCTTTCCGCCCCACGTCACCTCGTAGCGCTCATGTGCCGCCACTTTGATATGACATGATAATTTTTCTGCCACCAAGATGGTCTTCTTAATCTCATCTGCTTTTAACCTGTTTTTACGGTTGATGGAGTTGTTTTTCTTCTCGTTCCTCATTCCCTGCCTTGTTAGCATTTGCCACAAGGCAGAGTCTCATTAGATCAGTAAGGTTTTCTAAATTTATTTAAGACCATATTGCTTCCTAAATCTTAATATTTGTGCAAAGAATACTTACACTCTAATCGTGTGAGCATGATTTTATTTTGGAAAATCTGTCAAAAGCTTTTACCATTTGTTTAACTTTGCATGCTAGATTCATGGCTGCTTTGAACTCGATTTTTGTGCCTCCTCTGAGAGGCTTAATTTCCGGATTATGCAATCAGTTCCTATTTCCTGGTCTAATGAGCGTCATGAATAAGTATTTGTCACAGTATCGTGACTTCTCTCCACTGCAGAAGTGGCTAGAAGCAGTACAATGATGGTAAACCCCTGGATTTTCACTACTGAGAGCTGTGGATTGCGAGTGAGTGGATCTGTAGCAATACTTAACAGAGGAGTCAAAATGTCTCCCTCCTTTGACAATTGTTAGACTGGAATCACCAAAACACCTCTCACTACGGAGCTACATATGGCAGTTGTAAAAAGTGAATGTGCGACACCTCCTTCGCCTATGTGCCAAGTCGGTAGAACTGGGGCAAATGAATGACTGAGTAAGAACAAAGCAGTAAGGAAAAATTTACGCTGAACCACATTGCTACAAAACTATTTTGATTCTCTTTCTTAATAAAAAATAGCAATGGACATAAAATGTTCAGAACCCCCTCCCCTGCCCAGCTCACTTCCCAAATAGAATGAAATTACAAGTCTGGCGGAAGTCCCGAGAGGCAAACGTGATATTACAGTCCAAAATCATCTCACTTTCACACAAATGCGATTGTCGCTGCACTTTATGCTAGGATGGATACTTTTTTGGCAGTTATTGTGTTTTGACGGAAAAAAGCGCGAAGGACTGATCAAAAGGAGTGCCGAAGACAGCACACAAAAGGGATCGGAGGCTTTTGTCGTGCCGCGAAGCCCATGGCGCCAAGCAGCCACGCTATTGTAGAGTCATAGTAATACCTAAAATCAAAATATTATCTTTGATATGATTAAACTGCTACAAGTAACACTACATGGTCAGTTAATCTACCTTTTGTTTTTCATTTCCACATCGAAGGATAATCCTCCGTCATATCAGCCACATGTCCAAATCTTTGATCTTTTTTCTTTACAGTGAATGTCCCTACTCTTCATTTATACTCATTAGAGAATTAAGTTTAGCTATTCTTAGGCATTTTTATGATCCCTGTGTAAACGTAGCTATTAAAGGGAAATGAATTGTCTTGCATCCAGCTGTCGCCATCTGCCCATTGGTGATAGCTCCCTGGAGCCTTCTGGAGGACCAAACACACAAAATGCTTACAGTTCATTTTAACCGTTTGTAGTAATGCATTAAATTTATCTAATGTTTCACAATTCCCATTTAAAGTGCTTATAATTAGCTGTTTTACTTCACTTGTTTTATCCTCCTGGCTACAAATTGGATGGATTTGCAAAAGGGCACATCGAATGACTATTCTTTATTGTGGTGCATTAAACTGTCCGAAATGAATTAAATAATGTCGGTGGACGACATGAGCAAAACGTCCTGTCTCAAATATCTGGTACTTAAATCTAGTTTTCTGGTGAAAATAATTTATGTATACATTTTCAACTTCCTCTTTGCCAATGCTTTTAGCATGCTTTTCTCCTTAAGACGTTAACTGCGTTAGTATTTGGTCACTTTGGCAAAAGCTGTTTCCTTACATTCCCAGTAAGAACTTACAGCAATGAAAGTTTTTCGGGTTTTTTAGTGGAAGAGAATTTGTTCATTACATTCGAAATTATCTTTTACTATTGTGAAAAGTACAATAATAAGGGTTTTTAGGACTCATTATCAAACCCTCTTTCGCCTCCGTATAGCTTATTTAAATTCGTTTTAAGGGACAATTGTGTACTTCTTGGCGTTTTACCTGTGAGAAATAGTTGATGCAATGCCGAGCTTGGACATAAGGCCTTGGCAATCCACCAGTGCGGTTTAAAGTTGACACGACGGCCTCCACTCCATGCTGTCATGTGGATGCATGGAGAAGCCGGCAGAAAATGGGGACTGTGAGTGTTAAAAATATACCCACT